ATTAAGAACTACTCCATCCTTATTCCTTTAGATTTCAATTTTTTCTTGTTTTAAATTTTAGTTTTATTATAATGTTCTCTCGTTACATATTCTCCTTTAGTTTCTTTCAGTTTTCTTCCCTTCGGTTTTCATATAGTTACCTTATTTTTGTTTGTATAAATAACATGGTTGAGAATCTATAGATTAGATTCTCAAGAACAACTTCGTCCTTAGTCTGGGAGAGATCAGATCCTGCAGATTTTTCAGATCTAAGTTATATTTTAGAAGACTTCTCAAAAGACCCTTGGAAGACTCTCGGAAGACTCTTGGACAAAGTCTTCAAGAAGTCTTCTGAAGTCTCCTGCCCAAAATGGTACAAAGAGATGATGTCAAGTGAAGCCCAAGCTTATCTATGTTGAGGAATGATATTAAGCTCAAGTGTAATTTTTTTGTTTATGGTCTGTTTTATGATTTGTATGTGTACTATTTTAGTTGTGAATTCTTTGTAAATTTGAAGAGATGTTGATAAAAATAATTTGGTAAATATATTAATGTTTGCCAAAAGTACTTGACATTATTGAAGTTATTGACACAACATATCAAGAAATATTTTTAACCATTCTACACACTCATAACAAAAAACAATAACACAAAAACTTAGTCAAATTTACTAAAACTAGAGAGAAGACTTCTCAAGAAAACTTAGTCAAATTCACAAAAAAAAAAAAAAAAAAAAATAGAAGTCTTCCTTTAACATTATCAATAAGAGAAGATTTCTTGAGATAATTCTTTAAAAAATTAATGAGAGAACAAGTTAAGCCTCCATAAGTCTTCTCGGTAGACTTCACAAGAAGTCTTCTCCATACAGTTAACAACCGAATCATCTGCAAAAATAGTCTTCTTCATACTTTGAACTCGTGAAATGACTTGTGTAGTTTCTCCAATCACCCAGAACTTCACCACAAAAGCTACCTACTTGTTAATCACCAAGATTCATGAGCTTATGAACCTTACATAATTTGTAATCAAATCTTGAGTTTTTGATGAATTTTGAGAGAAAGTGTAAGATATGTAGTTTGTGTGGATAAAAAAATGAGAAAGGATGAGCAAAAAATCAAAAATTTAGGGCATTAACACTCTCAATTTAGTAGTTCATGGTGGTTGAGGTATTGATGTCAATGACAAAGTTTTAAATATTTGGTGAAGATGAGAATGGTAAAGCAAAAACATCATTTTCGGAAAAAAAAAAAAGCAATGGCATTTTCGTGAATAATTAACATTTTACCAAAAAAAAAAAAAAAAGAGGTGAATCATTCTCTGTGCTTTCTTCTTGAGTTTGTCGTAGCCAAAAGAGAGAATAAAATGTAAATATGTAAATATGTCTTAGCAATATTATAAACGTTTGACCTTTTCATATTGTTTGGTATATGATACATAGTGACCTAAATCCACTGATTTTTTAATCCACTAATTTTCCATTACTTATAAAATATATGATATTATTTTATATATTTCTTTAATCAGTAAAGTTTTTACACTTGACGAAATATCTCAATACATAGTCACATTTATGTTTTTTAGAAAAAATGAATTTTATAAATAAGGTTTTCCCAAAAAAATTAATAATTTTGATTATTTAAAAGAGTAGTCACTCCATTTTTATATAACATTAAACAACCTCATTACAAAAAATGTGTGATTCTTCTTTAGTATAATATGGTATTATTAATCGTAATGTCACTATTAAATTAGGTAAAAAAAATAATTCATTTACAAAACAAAATCACTATATATATTACTAAATATTTTCTGAGATTTCATATCAATAAAAATTTACTATACTTTTATTATAAATTTGTAAAATTTATTTGTGATTCTATATAAAAATATTACATAATTTCGTAAAAAGTAATTGCATAGCTATCACTAAATATTATTAAAAATTTATTTAGAGATCTGAAATTAACAAACAAAAAATATTTTAGAACTTTTAATTTAATAATATTTTATTAGAAATAGAAACAAATCTAGATTTTCAAGATACTGAAAATTGCAGATTTTGTGCCAAAGTTTAAATATTTGCTTACATTTTGAAAACATTTTTAAAATAAATGGAGAATCTAATATATTGAAAATAAACGGAATCTAGATTAAGATATTGAATATTATATTTAAGATAGATTGTGGAAACTTAAAAACATTTTGCAACTTTAAGAATATCTCTCCAAATCTTCATTATTTTACTAAATATTGGAAATATATAGAAATATATTTTACATAGTAATATATTGATTAATATATTATCATAAATATCTTATAAAAGTTTATTGTTATAACTATTGATGATAAAAATATTCTATAATCATATAGTTGATATTTGCAACGCGATTTTTTAATATCAAAAATTTATAAAATTTATCCTTAAAATTAAATTTAAATAATTTGTTTATCAAATACAATACATGTTGTACAAATTAATTTAGATAATTAGGGACTGAAAACCTAACTGAAACACAAACAGAGAAGTAGTAAAACCAAAACCGAAGTAGCATTTATGAAGTTTCTATTTCTCTAGAACAAAAAAATGGAAAAATAATCAGAACCAACTGAGAACTAAACTATCCAAAATACAGGTAGTATACATAATTTTTTTGACTATACAGTTTATCAAACATTTTTAAAATACTAATTATAAACCAAACTATCATAAAAATAGATACCCTATTATTTTGTATCCAAAAATATTTAAAACTATCCTAATTTTACAATACAACCAAATAACTCTAATTTTTTATCCAAAATATTTTAAATTTATTTGAGTGATCGACATTTTATCCAACCCCCTCCATTTAAAAATGTGACTTTTACCCTAATTATTCAAAATCATCTAAAACATAAACCAAACAAAAACCAAATTGAACTCAAAATTGTATTGGTTCCTAACATTGTTATCTAAACCAAACCAAATACTAAAATAACAAAACCAAAATCAAACTTGTGTTCATAAATAACCAAACGGTTTCTATATATTTTGAACCAAAAAAAAAAAGAAGAACAAAAACCGAACAAAAAACACTTGAACCGAACCGAAAACTAAACCCACATGTCTAAACATAGTGAGCAAAAATACAGATTGATAAATATATAACTAAAAAATAATCCCGCGCTTTCAAAACGTGAGTCAAAATCTAGTATATATTAATATTAGTATTTAATTCTGAGGTTCTTAAGATTACGGGAAACTCAATCAGAAATATATCTGTACATAATTTTTGGTTTAGGTTTCCCCTAAAATTAAGAACATCCAAATTAAATATTAATATTAATATATACATATACTTAAATACATATATATGTATATTGAGAACTCCCAATGCTAGATATTTCCATTGGGTGTGCTCTAATATCTTTGAAACTCTATCTTTCCATATTTCCATTGAGCGTTCTTCAAGACATGGTGTGCCCCTCGTCCGGCATATCCTCTTGAACGTATAAACCGCCACGGAATGGTGGATGCACCGCCAAGATTTCCACTGCCAAAAAAAATAGAGACATGGTTCAAATGACTCTGCTCCCTTTGTTATCTCTTTTATGTGTCTATATTTCGATGTTTCTATCAAGATTTAGACTTTTTATTCATTTTTCTTATGTATTTTTCTGTAACTTCTACATATATAGATGACGGAGTTGGGTGAGTAGACTGTTGTTTCTCCAATATTCATAACGATGAGTTTCGACATCCAAAGCTCCAACGCACACCATTATGAGAGATAACCTTTTTACTCTGTATATGTTTGATACTGTGTTTTGATCTGTTTTTTTTTTCTTTCCTTTAATTCTCTCTATATAATGATAAACTAGATTTTTGACTCGTGATTAAAAAGCGCGGATACTATTTTGTTGTTTTATCTATAGATGGATCGATAAGTTTTTTTTGCTTTGATGATATAAAATATTTTTGTCTAATATAACTTTCTAAAATTATTGTAGATTTTAATTTATTATTATCATCAATATCTATGTAAATGTATTATATGTAATTTTATAGTTTTATTTTGAAAAATAATATCAATTAACTACGCTTAGTGCTGGGAAACAGGTCAAACTCGTCCTGTCTGATCCGCAAAGAAAATAAATTTTATATGTATCCGCTTCACTTAATTTTGCAGATAATCCATAGTAAAAAGAGATATTAAATAGTATATTTTTAATTAAATTTTTCATTTTAAAAAAAAAAGAATTATTTTAACGAAAATTAGTATATTTTTGAAAAATAATATTTAAAAAAAAATCTATTTTTGCACATTACCGGATATCCACAATTGAAATTAGAACATCTGGATCCGTCCCGCGTAAAATATATTTGACCTGTATCCGCATCCGCAACTTAGTTTTTTCAAATATCGATTCACCCGTTCCGTGGCAAGTGGATGGAGCAGGACTAGTAGACTAATAGTTCGAATGTGAATTTGACCCATTAATAAAACTCATTAATATATAGTTTTTAGGCCCTGAATAAAAAGTTCAAATTAACATTAATGAGAAATTAAATATATTCATGAATTAATTTGTAAACGCACCTCATAATCAATAGAAAATCATTCGCTCTCTATATCTTTTTTTTTTCCTCTTGTGTTCTATTTTATCAGTGTTCTAAAATTTACTATATAAATATTTTGCTTTTATTCTAAAGTTCTATCTATTTTATAACAAAACATAGTTTCTCTAAAAGAAAAAAGATTTCATTTTTCATGTGTCATTCAGGGTACATTGTTTCTAAACATATATAAAATATAAAATATATAACTAATGTTCATATATATATATATATATATATATATATATATATTCTCAAAGACTTATATGGTTTCTATGCTATAGTATTCTATGTCTAATGAATTATATTTTGAGTTTTCAGATTCTTTATTTGCGGGAGAAGGGCAGCTTCATGAGAAGAAACAGGTTATGAAGATCATATACAGTAAAGAGCCTGTTGTGTCTTTCATCATATACCAATTAATCAACTCAAGAGAAGGAAAATTCTTTACAGCCTGAGACATTGTTATTTCTCCTGAATATAGACTGATTGTTGTGAGTCTAGTAGTTTATTTTGGTCCTTCGTGATTGGATAGAAATGTAAGAGCAAAGTACATGAGTTTTGCGAAATGTAGTTCTCATGAAGTAAGTTTAACAAGAAGAGGAGTATTCAACAAGTCCAAAAAACAAACATCTAATTACAAGAATGGGAGCTGCACATGAAATAGTAAAGAGGCAGAGAGATGTTGTCTACTCTGCTGAACTCCTCAAACTTCTGTTTAACACGGCAACCTAAACTGATTGATGACAATAGCAAAACCTGAGTATCAGTTACCAATAATCTGTGACGAATATAAAATGGCATGAGACACGATATACCTTTCTATATTTCACAACTTTCTTTTGTTTCCTTGGGAAGCCTCATTAACCCTCTCACCAACAGTGCTACTGGATCCTGAGTTAGATGCATACCCTAAAGCAACTGAACCTGTAGGTATGTCTTCCTCTTTTGCTTTCTGCTTATTCATGCGACTCTCTCTTGTGCTAGGAAAACTCCCTTTTACTTCAGTTCCCATCTTCGAAGAAGCGGGTGATTCTGGTCCTTCCATATGCTTTGCCGTAGACATATCAAAAGGCCTATGAAAGAGCAAATGAGCCACAGTTCTGTCTGTGGGATTGGTCACTGTTTCTGTGTCTAGCATCCCGCCATATCTGTAAGAACAAACACCAAGAGCTAGCTATGTAAACCACATATTGGTTTTGTTGATGATGTTTATCTTAAACGTAATCACCTAACAAAGAACTATGAAAGCACATGGAAAGAGTACTAATGCATATGCTTGCAGCATCCAGAACAAGGGGCGCGTGCTAATACGGAGAAATCATTTCTCCTATCTCACACTCCATCAATCTTAGTTCTCCATGAGATACTAACTCAGATCACATATAAAAGGATACCCCCACATTCACAAAACTGTATGTGTGTTGTCTACATGATCTAACATACGAAGCATATATCTTTTCTTTTTGGACGAAGCATATATTTATATATATATGTATATATATATATATACCATATTGATCCATATGCATAAATTTGCTTACCTATATCTGGATCTTTCTTTAGGAATAGCCTCCTGGCCATCCTGGCTAGTCTTATTACTGTGGGATGTATCACTAGTGTGATGTCTCTGAGCTGCGCTATCAGCCAACCGGAATAAGCTATCCCTTATACAAGTCCTTGTTCCCATATCTAACTGCAGATCAACAAGTAGTATTAGTTACTCCTAACATAAAGGCCAATTACAAAGTACTGTAGAGTACCTTTGCTACAACATCCTGAAGCCGATAAAGAGCTGAGAATTCTGTTGGATTATCAACAGCAGCAGCAAAGTTGGCAGAATCATCAAGTTCCAGAGATGAGTTAGGATCAAAAGAACGCATTCCAGTTAGCCCTTGACGATTAGTTTTGTCGACAAGCTGGAGTGGATTATCTTGACAACAGTTTTGAGTAATGGACTGATCTGCTACAGGAACCTGGTGACGAAATTGCTGCTGTTGTCTCTGAATAGCAAGCATTGCCTGCATTTGCTGTCTTCGCCTAAGTTTTTCTAGTTTTTCCTGCGGCGTCATTGTTGAAGGTCGAGCAGAGGCATCTGTTACCATGTTTACAGAGATGGCAGTAGCAGGGTTGTAGGAAGGATGCATCAGCTGATTCTTGACATCAGGACGTTGGACGGCTGAAACTACAGGCACAGCAGAATATGGATTTGTCTGATTACCAAAACCAGAAGTAGCCATGTATTGGTTTGACATATGCGGGTATTGTGATGTCCCAGACCCTTGAGACTCACTCTGCAGATTAACAGCCATCAAAGATGACTGTGACGGTGCCAACTGATTTACAAATTTTCTCCTGGATAGAGTTCTCTGACCGTATGGATCTTGAAATGCTCCTGCCACACACGTCCCCGACATGTCCGAGAACTTCATCATTTTGTTTTGTTTATATGGCTGTACAGAAAAAAGAAAAAGAAAAAGAAATAAGACTCAATAGAGCTGTAAAAATCACAATGCATAAGAATCTGAAGACAAACCACATTGATAGAAACTAATGCAACATACTTTCTTTCATTCACTTTATTAGAAAATGGGGAGAAATATCTAGAAGTCTGCTGTGCGTAGTACCTGGTCATCAACTGCGGATTGACTCTTATGCTCATGGTACTGCTCAGATTTTGGGGTTACATGTACACGAGGCACACTTTGGGATGAGGGAGCATTGATCTTTCCAATCAATGGATGCTCAAATTCAGTTCTAATATCCAATCCTAGATCTTGAGAGTCCAAAACCGATGGTAACGGTTTTGATGGACTATTGGATGCATCTTTAGAAGAAGACCACAGCTCATCTGCACCGTTGAGACTGCCATCGCCAAATATAGGGATATTATTGCTGCAAAATCATCACTTGTGAGGATATTGTGTTAGATAGAGAAGCATTAGTAGGTAATCCTTGAGGTTGGTAACGTTCAGTTACAGCATAGCTCAAGCAGGATGTTGAGAACAAGATGTACCTGAACATTCGATCAAGATCATCAAAGCTACCAATGTTAGCCCATCCGTACTCATCAAAATCACCTTGCTCTTTAATCTCGTCAGTGGCAGTGCTATGAAAAATATCAGGGCCTTTCCCAAGTTCAGACGTTTTCTCTGGTGAGCACACAACTTTAACATGATTAGATTTGAAAGAACGTACCCAAGCAAAACATCACTGTTCTAAGAAACGCACCAACTCTTGCTGAATCATATCTAGCTGGTTCAGCTAAGCTTTTGGAGAGTTCAGTCTCACTCGAACCTGGTCCTGGATCAGCTTCTCTAGCATTAGATAGAGATGAGCCAGGCCATGAGCTCATACAAAAATCTTGCTGAAGATTCCCCTCGTCAACATTGTGGCCCGAACTGCTCCCCAGTTTACTCTCATGGAGGTCAGTTTTAGTCCCAGTCTCAGTTATCTTCTGCTCAGCTGCCTTAACTGCCTTAGATTCCTCACCATGTTCCTTCCTGTTAAGTTGATCACTTCTTACTTTAAAAGGCACAATATGGTCGCCTGTCTCACCGTCATCACCCCATATCATATTAGTAAGCTGGAAAAACAGGTTAAGACCACAAACAATAAGGGATCAGGGACAAGCCAATATTGGCATCTACATGCGACCAGAACTAAAGTGTATAGCATATAAGAACATGATGTAAGAAATAGACAGGATTCCCATCAAGATAAAACTGACTCATTACTGAGAAGTGAAACTTGACTATGAATCTCTCCACTTTGACACTTCACTGGACTCTCTGCTCCTCCTACTCTAGTACTCAAACTACCATACCCTAAACCTAAACTACCTCGTGACAGAGCTCAGATCTTTACTTGTTTACATGAGCAATGAACTTGTAAAATTCAAAATTCTCCCTCTTCAAAGCCTAAAATCTTGTTCTTGCCTGTGAATTGGGAATATAAAGGTAGAGAGCCATGAAACTTTTCATATCAATCCAGGGAATTTACAGCTTAGATATCTCTCTTCTTCCACTAGCAAATGAGAGAGTGATACAGAGAGAGAGAGAGAGAGAGAGAGAGAGAGAGAGAGAAGCATCAAAGAACTAAAACAGAGAGCTTGCGCACACAAACGAATGATAGTACTAAAGGTTGAGACTTTACCTCTTCGTCGTCCCAATCAAACATGACTATAGAAAGAGAGTCCAATCACATAACCCAAATCACACTCCTCCCTGATTGCTCCTCCACACATCGCCGACTCCACCACGAGAAAAAAAAATAACATAAAACAACAAGAAGAACAAAAAAAGTCGCTTAACGTAATTCTGAAGAAAAACTGATTATTATTAAATAAAATAAAATTAAACTGAAAAAGAGCAAGCCTTCAAAAACCTGGATTCAGAATCCTTCATGCTTCATCTGGATAATGGAAAAAGAAAATGAAAAGAAGAGTTATTACAGAAAGAGGTTTGGGGGAAGAGTGGGGCCCATTTACCAAGTGTCACGTGCCGAACGAGTGGCTGAGAGAGGATGGGCGGGGTTAGGATGCCACGTCAGACGAGAGTGCGTATCTAAACATGTGGCTGAGAGAGAGAGTCAATAACTACGACTCACCACCTCTCATTTTGACCTTCACTTGTATCTCTATACTCTTTTATTTTCCCGGTTTTCTTTTTAAAAAAGTATTTTCTAGTGGTCAGATAGTGTTTGAGGAACAGAAATGAATAGACACACAAAGATATGGTATCCATTTTTATATATTTTCTTTATTTTGTAACAACAATATATTTATAAATTATTTCGGAACTTTTATTTGAAAGACTGGAACCAGGCTTCAAATTCTAGATTTGGTGGGGTACACGTTTATATCCGTTCGGTTCAGTGTTTTTCCTCCTTCTTACGTTTCTGTTTGTGTAAATCCGGTTAGACTATAATGGACAAATTGTAAAATTTTATATATTAAAACACAAGTCACACATTAATTCATATGTAATTTTTTTAAAAAAACCTATCATTAGAAACTAAATAATGTGTTTCATTTTCTATTCTCACGAAGCATAAAATTGTATATACATATTAAACTCAACATAAACCAAATACAAAGATTTTAACACTGTTAATTAAGACCAAACTTGCTACGATAAATCAAACACTTATGAAAAGTTCATCTTTCTCCCAGATTATCCAGCCAATACTCAAGAAAGGTTTTTAAAATTCGTCAAATCTTCTCTACTAGAGTAGATAAGTGAAGATTGCAAATTTGGTCAGTTTTTAGTCAGACCCGGATTGTGATGATTAACCTTTTCCTCTCCTCCATTGAGAAGAACTCTCATTCTCGATCTTTACTTCTCAATTCTAAGTTACTATTTACAATCTCATCATGGTGCATTAGAAAGTAAGTGTTTTTATCCAATACGGTACATTTCTCAGCAGGGTCGGCCCTGGACCTAACCTATTGAAACAATTGCTTTAGGTCCTCATTTTCTAGAGACCCCCATTTAAAAAAAATGTCTAGTATACATATATAATTCATGTAGACAAATCTGATCATTTTCGTTGGTTTTTAGAACCTATATTAATTTAAATGGACCAAATAATGTTTAAGGAAAGAGCCCAATAAATTAAAAAAAAAAAAAAAATTGAAAACCATGTTTTTGTGTGTCGAAGGAAAAAAAAAGATTCTTAAATTTCTTCTTCTTCTTCTTCTTCTTCTTCTTCTCTGGCACAATTTCATTATTCCTTTCTCAATTGCTTGTGTTTATATCAGAAGCAAAATATTGTCATAAGCTATGAAAGGTATTCAAAATTGTGCTAAATTTGTATTATAATTAGAAATTTGATCACAAAACCAATTCTTACTGTATTTTCTTTGGCATGAAATTTCTAGGAATTTCTACACGGAAAACAAAGTGTAAAACAGGAGCTCAAAAGAAAAAAGAAAGGAAAAGAAAAAAAGAAGAAGAAAAATCTCTAACCAATTCTATGTTAAGGTATGTTAAAAAATCAAAATCTTTGGAAAGTGATGAGGGTATTGGAACTCCTGGAGCTGCTGATGAAAATCCTCCTATTTTAGAAGATGATAAGATAGAGGAAATTATTGATAAACCTGAGAGACAGAAGAGCAAAAGTAAAGAAGATGATGTTAATGTTGAAGTACAAGAGGAGATTTTGGATAATTCTGATCCTGCAAATTGGAAAACAATTGATCAGAGTTTGAAAAAATTTCTAGTGAAATCAGGTCCTATGAAAAGAGTACACGAGGACTATGTTTTTCCAAAGAATGATCATGGGAGACATTTTTCTCTTAAGTATTACAAAAGAGAGATACAAATGGAGATAAACAAGATAGGAGCTGGCTACTTTATTCAAGGGTATCAGACCAAGCATATTGCTTTGCTGCAAGTTGTTTGGTCGAGATCAAGAAGTCAACCAGTTTTCAAGTAAAGGATTTAATGATTGGAAGAATATCAGACTAAGGCTGAGTCAACATGAAACTAGTCATCACCATATTGTGTGTATGAGTAAGTGGATGGAGTTAGAGTTGAGATTAAGGAAGAAGCAAACCATTGATAAGCATCTTCAAGAAGAAATCAATAAAGAAAGAAACCATTGGAGAGAAGTCTTGTTGAGAATGTTTTCATTGGTAACAACTCTTGCTAAGTAGAATATAGCATGTCATGGGACTAACGAGAATTTTGGTCAGAAAAACAGCGGAAACTTTCTAAGTTTTATTGAATCATATGTAATTTTTGATCCAATCATGCAAGAGCATATCAGACGGATAAAGGAAGGTCAGACTCACTATCATTATTTAAGCCACAAGATTCAGGATGAGTAGATTGTTATGCTAGGACATGAGGTTAAGCTTATGATCATCAAGAAAATTCAAGAGGCAAAGTATTTTTCAGTTATTCTCGATTGCACTCCAGATAAGAGTCATAAAGAACAGATGAGTCTTGTTATCAGATGTGTGGATGTCTCCATGGCTAAAACACAAGTTGAAGAATTTTTTGTAACATTCTTAGAAGTTGCAGATAAATCTAGAGAAGGACTTTTTGAGTTGCTTTGTGAGACATTGGCTGGTCTCAATTTGAGCATTGATGATGTGAGAGGGCAATGCTATGACAATGGATCTAATATGAAGGGAAAACACAAAGGAGTACAAAAGATATTGCTGGATATCAACTCAAGAGCATTTTTTACGCCTTGTGGTTGTCATAAACTTATCTTGGCACTTTCCGATATGGCTAAATCATCTAAAAAAGGTATTGCTTTCTTTGGAATCATTCATCGGATATATAATTTATTTTCGGGATCTACAAATAGGTGGGAGCTATTTAAGGAGATGGTAGGAAGTCTCACACTTAAGTCATTATCAGAAACTCGTTGGGAAAGTCGTGTTGAAAGTGTTCGAGCAATTCGTTTTCAGGCTCCAAAAATAAGAGATGCGTTGGACTACTTGGCAGAAAATTGTGATGACCCTGAAGCTCGCAGCAATGCTGAATCTCTTGCTGAAACTAATGGAATTGGAGGATTTGAGTTCTTATTTGCTCTGGTCATTTGGTATGAACTTTTGTTTGCCGTTAATATAGTACGTAATGTGCTGCAGTCAGCGCATATTGATATTGATAATGTTGTTTTTCAGTTGAAAGGGTTGGTTTCATATCTGAAAAACTACATAAAATTTGGATTTGAAAAAGCAAAGAAGAAGCTGTGGTTATTGCAGAATCAATGGATATTGAGCCAAATTTCCTGTTCAACGTAAGCGCATTATTAAAAGGAAATTTTTTTTGATGAGGAGACACAAGGAGTTGAAGATTCTGAGATGCTGAGTGAGGAAGATAGGTTTAAGGTTGATTTTTTTCTAAGAATCGTGGATCAAGTTATAGTATCTCTGCAGATGAGGTTTGAACAATTTGAAGAATATGAGAAAAATTTTGGATTCTTGTTTGATCTAAAGAAGTTGAGATCAGCATCAGATGATGGCTTAAAGGCATCATGTATTAACCTTGAAGTTTGTCTTAAACATGGTGAGATCTCAGACATTGATGGAAACCATTTATTCCTTGAACTCCGGGTCTTAAGAAAAGTTTTACCAGACGAGATCAAAAAGGCCATTGATGTGTTAGACTTTATAAAAAGGTATGAAGTTTGCTGCTATCCAAATACGTTTCTTGCATATAGAGTGATGTTGACGATTCTAGGTTCAGTCGCTTCAAATGGAAGAAGTGTTTCCAAGTTAAAGTTAATAAAATCTTACTTGCGGTCAAGTATGTCAGAAGATTGACTAAATGGTTTGGCAATGCTGTCGATTGAGAGAGATATGGATGGGAACCTTGACTATCAAAGTTTGATGAATGACGTTGCAGAGAAAAATGCAAGGAGGAGTATTTTTTTAGAAGATGTAAATCATCAGTTTTTTTTTTTTGAGAAAACTTATGTTTTATCGGTGATTTACTTCATATTTCAAACTATGTTAAGGAGTTTTTTTTTTGGGATATTTTTGTAATGTAATATATAGGCCCCCATTTTTAGTTTTGTTTCAAGTCCCCGAAATTTCAGGACCGGCCATGCTTCTCAGGGGTCGATTCCAAAGAATTCAATTAGGCTCCGCCAAACTGGACCTTTGGAAAATTAAGAGCTTCGTGTAGTATAGAACCATCACTCAAGCTTTGATTTCTGCTTCACAATTGTTTGGAATCGCAACAGCGTGATTCTTTAAAACAGAAGATCATAATCTGTATTTTTATTAATAGAAGGCATGATCTGTATTTTTCATCACACGTGTTTTCTGAATCAAGATGTAAAATGCCAGCTCAACAAATGGAGGAAGACGACTGTGTGAGATTTGTCCACGTATATTTTTAATTTAATTTTTTATAAGTTATAAATTTGTTTCTCTTGATCCAATGTTTTAGATATTTGAGCTCAATTTTTATTTCATTTGATTTATAATATTATAGTTATATATTTATATTAAAACTTATATAATATTCTACCTAAACATATTATAAATTTTACATTTTGTTCCCGTATTTTAATTAAAAAAAATTGTAATCAATTTAGATTTCCCATAACAACTTTAAATCTTTTATCTCATTACATAAAGATAGAAACAATAAAATATTCTGTAAAAATATGAACAATTCTCTCATATAACCAATTTTCAGTTTTTGTCACCAAAAGAGTCTTAAAAAAAATAGTTAAATTTTTTTCATTAAATACATAAACGAGTCTTCAATCTCTTGTTTTATAAATATATGTATATAAAACATAGTTTTTTATAGTTTTAACTTATATGTTTCTAAATTTGAACATTTTTTTTGAGCGATTTGCAAGATAAATAGAAGAAGATGTATATATTTGCACGGATGGAAAATTGGACGGTCCAACCATAAAGCCTACATTTTGCTTGAGCGAAAATACCAAGTTGCCCCTATTCTCACTTTCGTCTATACGAAGAGTTAGTTTCATGATTACATGCATGTAATCATTAGAGAAACTATACAAACAACACTATGTATACATCTGTCTAGAATCTACATATAATAGTAGCCAAAAAAATCTGAAAACTTACACTGCATATAAAAGTAAAACTTTTCACTATATTCACACGAGTAAATCTTTTTAACACTCCCATTCCTAGACATATTTTCACCCATCTCCGTATAGCCAGATTTACATGTCAATGTAATGTTTTCTTCCGAAAAATAGCCAGCTAAACTCTCTTGTATTATCTAGTTGTACTATCGTAGACACTGTAACCGGATAATAATCATATTAGCACTACTATAATAGGTTTATTAGCCGTTTACGTAGATCGTCTGCAATGTTTGTATCGGTGGATGTCGTCTATTCAGTCGGCTAATCATATTTTAAGACAAATACTTCTACAATTATCTGGATAATAAATGTATTAGACCTATAATAAATTTATTAGTCGTTAGATAGATCGTTTTGCAATGTTCATATATGTGGATGTGGTATATCTATGCGGCTAATCATCTTACAAGACAAGTACATCTACAAATATCCGTCTAATAAAAAATGTCTTGTTTTCTCATTGAATATGTATGTGTGACTTCGATCATTCCGCATGAGAGTGACTTTGAGCTCGATGAAACGTAGCTGGATTTCTTCGACGAGGAAGACGATGGAATCGTAGACAAAATGGTCAGTTTAATCAAAGATGACACCCACTTCTCAAACCAAATGTTTAGAGGCGGGGTTGCAAAGACAAATGCTGCGCGCATGCGCAAAGCGGCCGCCGCTCTAGTCAGAAAGAAGAGAAAGAGGAAAAACACATGCCAAACTCCCACCGAAGGCGTTGCTGACGCGGGTCGGTTTCTTCACTTGTACAAGGGAAGATCATGGGCGATGTTAGCAGGCTGAAAGTCAAGGTTGACGATCTTAACCCAACAGGTTCCTCTCCGATAGAAAAGATCCGAGATGGTAACTCTATTGTATCCATGTTTGTCAACGGGAGATTCGATGAAATCAAAACCCAAACTTGAACAGTGAAAAAGAAATGTGTATTAGTCCTAATAATTTAGACAGACATAGAAAGGAGGACATAAAAAAGGGCTTACAAATAGTAGAGATAGACTACTGACAGCGATGAGATTGCATAGAAAAGAAGTGGGTGTGTGGTATATCGTTAAAGAGAACTGATTCCGAAACAAACAAAATAGCAACGGAATCTTCATACCTGCACATGCATCAACAATTATATTAGAAAATCAAAATTAGTTTGAAGATGATAAAAAACCCTAACAAAAGGGAAGAGGATAAGATTTCAGAAAGATTGAACCCAATCGCTTGATCGGAGAAGAGGAAAAAGGAAAGAGGAAAGAGAATAATATAAGACCATGAGTATTTTGAACACATGTTTTATCACGTGCTCCTTGTAAAGGGAAGAAGGTTTAGGTTTCTCTAGTTAAGGTAATGGTAAAATTATTATTTTGAAAAAATAGCTCAGCCAAAAAGTTGACTTTCCATCCATGCAAATATATATGTTATTTGTGTATATGAGATGGAAATTTATCTTTTTAAAATCTTTTTCGAAAATGCGTTTTCAAATATTTGTAAAATTTTTATTTTGAACTTTCTAATATATATATATATATTTAAATATTAAACCTCACCCGCAAAACCTTAACTCTAAACTATAAGTCTAAATTAGTTAATCTCTATGAGTATAAGTGTATATTAACTCTAAATTATAAGTTTAAATTAGTTAATCTTTATTCACCTTTAATGAAACTTTTCAGTCATTTTCTTGGTTTTTTGATGAAAATAAACTAAAAAGATACCAAGAGATTTTCTCTAAAAATATTGATTTAACTAATAAAATAAGATCACTATCTTAAATTATCATAAAAATTCATTTTCTTTCATATATTTAACTAAAAATTCCTAATACACGAAATTAAATTAGATTTTCCAAACCATTTTAAAATATTTATTTACCTAAACAACTTTTAAAAAATCCAAAATATTAAACAATTTAGTCATTGAAGGATATATGGATCTGAATATTGTAAAATTGTCTTAAAATGCAAATAAATTACTAAATTCACACGTTATTTGTGTTACTTATGCTTTTAAATATGATTTAAATACAAAATATAAACAAAATCATTTAAAATTTGCATATGTTAAGTCGTATAATATTAAACGCAAATCCAATGAAACAAATATAATAAAAATCTAAAAATAGATTTAATGATTTGAAACAATGAAAAAGATGACAAACATGTAAACTATAACATTACTGTGTTTTATAAAATACTATAATGAAAATATGGTCAGTTATATATTTGCTACTGATGATGTAAAAACAAGATTTTTACATTCATAAATTGAAACTAACCACCCGCGTGGTTGCGCGGATCAAGATTTAGTCATATTTTAAAATCTACTACAAAAATAATATTTAAAAGAATAAAATTTTAGATTTAGTAATGATTAATTTATTTACAATTTTAAATTTTGTTGTAGTGCCAATCTTTTAATATTATATCATATCGTAGCATAATCACTAATCTAAATCTAAATATTATATAGTTTACTTTTTAATAAATGTTATTTGGGCAAATCTCCAAAATAACACATTTCTAAGTTCATGTCACAAAAATAACATTCAAAACTAAAATTACCCAAATAACATTTTATCTTTTGAATTTTTTTTTAAGAAAAATTCTTTTTCAAAAATTGAAATCTTATCCCCAAAAACTCACTCCCCAACTCTAAACTCTAAAACCTAAATTCTAAACCCTAAAGCCTAAACTCTAAACCTTAAATCTTAAATCCCACCCCTTAACTTTAAACCCTAATATCTAAATTAATTTATCACTAGAGCTGGACCCGCCCGACCGGGCGGGTGTTTCTTATGTTTATGTAATGTAATTAAATATTTTTTTAACTATTATATAATCTGTAAAAATTCTAATAAAAATGATGACAAAAATACATCACATAGTACAAATATTACTGTAAAATTCACCCAATAGTCATTGTTTTTTTTTAAATAGCAAATGTGCATTTGATCACATTATGACAACAAAATTGAGTTAATTCATAAATATATGTGAACTAAACCTTTTAAAAAACCTAACTTCGATAAGGTAATTTAAGTTGGGCCATATTTTAATTAATTTTTTTCAAAATACATGTTCAAATGGCCCAGCTAACCCAAATATTTTATTTTTATACCGAACTAACCCAAATATTTTATTTTTATACCGACAAGACCGTTTGTATTATGGAAAAAAAATCGAGGTTCTTTAATTTGGTGAGAACCTCATGTCCATCAAATATTCTTTTTAAACATAGATTTTGAAGGTTATCTTGAAATTTATTTATTTTTATTCAACATTTGCTTCGAATTAATTTATGTTATTTCAAATAAAAAATTTCGTCGTTATTTTAATTTTTTTTTCATATTAGTTTTCAGTTCGAAAATTTTGTTTCTACGAAATGGTAAAAGATACGCTGTAAATATAAATTTATTATATAATTATTAATATGTCAAAGTATTAATTACATAGATAAATTTATTTGTTTTATTTAAAATCGATTGTATTCGATATTGGTATCATATAATTAAATTGACATTTATAAATAATTGGACATATAAATCTAAAATTTACAAAATGATTGGGATTATATTTATGTATCCAATTTTTTATTGATCAAGTTCTCAATTGTTTGTAAATTATTTTGGTTGTATATTTTATTTAATGAATTATTGAACTATGAAGACTAACCTGTGTCCAGACATGTGTATTACCTTTTTATATTATAGCAGTAAGTTTATATACTGAATTATATAATTTATTGTGTAGTATTATATATTTGAATAAATTTTTAAAAAGAATATAAAATATTTATAATATATACTTTGTTTTATATTTCTAATATAGAAAACTCTGGTCAGATTAATTAATAGTATGTTGCCATGTTTTAAGATAAAAATTAAATGTTGCCGTGTTTTTAGTTAATATATCTGGTCAAATTTAAATATGGAATGCTATTCAGATTTTCCTAAATTATTGTTGCCATGTTTTTAGGTAAAAATGGAATTAGGAAATGCATTAATACAAAAGGAAAAGACAATGAATATTAATGTTAGGATATTTAATTACTTCAGTGGCATGAAATTGTAGTTAAGTGGTAAAATTAAGGGGCATTTCAATAGGGTACTTCTATTTTAATAATAGAGATTATGATATAAGTGTATATTTATCTCTTTTGATAAAACATTAAGTGTTATTTTGGTTATTTTTATTCTTAAGTGCTATATTTGTGACAAAAACCTTTTTAAGTGTTATTCTAATCATTTTCTCATGTTATTTTCTTCAAAAAAATTTGCATATTTTAAGATAAAATATTATTTTAATGAAAATGAAAATAGAATTGCTTGCGTGAGTTGGGCCGAGAATTGCTTTACAAAGTATAAAATGGTTACGAGAACAAATCTTCTCGTCACTTTTGCGCCGCCCGCCTTGTCTATCTCTCGATCATATTATTCCTCCCGAGCAAAACTTCCTTCTCATCTATCAGGTTCGTCTGAATGTCATAGTAAAACTCTTATTGTTCTCCCTTTTCTTCGTAATTCACAGCTCGTGTTAATTTCAGTTGAGTTGATTTGGATGAAGTTGAATTCCTAATTGTGTCAGTCGCACGCCTTCAGAGCGATCTCTGAATTTGAATTTTTTCGAGTTAGCTTGTTAGATAATTTGATTACCATTCCTCATTAATAGATATATGTAATAAAAATCCAAACATCACATGGTTATTGATGTCTTTATAGGCTTAAGATGGTTAAGAAGAAGTCAGACGAGAGTGGGAAAGGGAAACCAAGTGGTAAAGATTCTTCTAAAGAACCAAAGAAGGAGAGACTCTCTGTCTCTGCCCTGCTTGCTGGCATGGACCAGAAAGATGATAAACCCAACAAGGCTTCTGCTTCTTCTTCATCATCCAGACCCAATGCTGTCTCTAAGAAAGCTACTCGACGAGGAGGAAGAGGAGATTCTGACGAGGAAGGAGGAAGAGGAGATTCTGACGAGGAACAGAGACAGGCTGAAGCTAGGAGAAAGCTGAAGAGCCAGCAGAGCCATCTTGACATCTCCGTGACTGATAAGGAACAGAAGAAGCGTGAGACGAAAGAGAGAGAAGCCCTCGAGGCTGCGGAGCTTGCTAAGAGGGAAGCTTTGAAGGATGATCATGATGCTTTCACTGTTGTTATTGGAAGCAAGACTTCGGTGCTTGAAGGAGAAGACACTTCTGATGCTAATGTTAGAGATATTACGATTGACTCTTTCTCTGTCTCTGCTAGGGGTAAAGAGCTTTTGAAGAACGCGTCTGTCACGATATCGCATGGTAAAAGGTATGGATTGGTGGGGCCTAATGGGATGGGGAAGTCTACTTTGTTGAAGCTTTTAGCGTGGAGGAAGATCCCGGTTCCGAAGAATATAGATGTTCTTCTTGTTGAGCAAGAGGTGGTTGGTGATGACAAGAGTGCTTTGCAAGCTGTTGTTTCCGCAAATGAAGAGTTGGTTAAGATAAGGGAAGAAGCTGCAGCTCTTCAGAACACGACGGCTTGTGATGATGATGATGGTTCTGGAGAAAAGCTTGCTGAATTGTATGAGAGGTTACAGATCTTGGGATCAGATGCTGCTGAAGCACAGGCTTCCAAAATCCTTGCGGGGTTAGGTTTCACAAAAGATATGCAAGTAAGGCCAACTAAGTCCTTCAGTGGTGGATGGAGGATGAGAATATCGTTAGCTAGAGCTCTCTTTGTGCAACCTACACTTTTGTTGTTAGATGAACCTACCAACCATTTGGACCTGAGAGCTGTTCTCTGGTTAGAGGAGTATCTCTGTCGCTGGAAGAAGACGTTGGTTGTTGTTTCACATGACCGGGACTTCCTCAACACTGTCTGCACGGATATATTCCATTTGCATGACCAGAATCTCCACTTCTACCGTGGTAATTTCGATGCTTTCGAAACAGGATATGATGATCGACGGAAGGAGAAGAACAGAGAGTTTGAGAAGTACGAGAAACAGTTGAAAGCAGCTAAGAGATCTGGAAACCGTGTTCAACAAGAGAAGGTAAAGGACAGGGCTAAGTTTGCAGCAGCGAAAGAAGCATCCAAGAGTAAAGCAAAAGGTAAGGCTGTGGATGAGGAGGGGCCAGCACCGGAAGCTCCAAGAAAGTGGAGAGATTACAGCGTGGAGTTTCATTTTCCAGAACCAACCGAGCTCACTCCTCCTCTTCTGCAGTTGATTGAAGTTAGCTTCTGCTACCCCAATAGACCAGATTTCAGGCTCTCAGATGTTGATGTAGGTATCGATATGGGCACAAGGGTGGCTATAGTTGGGCCTAACGGAGCTGGAAAATCTACTCTGTTGAATCTTCTTGCGGGAGATTTAGTTCCAACGGAGGGTGAAGTGAGAAGAAGCCAAAAGCTGGTGATTGGCAGATACTCTCAGCATTTTGTTGACCTGTTAACAATGGGGGAAACACCTGTTCAGTATCTTCTACGACTTCATCCTGATCAAGAGGGATTCAGCAAACAAGAGGCTGTGCGTGCGAAGCTAGGCAAGTTTGGGTTACCAAGTCACAACCACTTAACTCCAATTGCGAAGCTGTCTGGTGGACAGAAAGCTAGAGTTGTGTTGACCTCAATCTCAATGTCTAAGCCACACATTTTACTTCTTGACGAGCCTACGAATCACTTAGACATGCAGAGTATAGATGCGTTGGCAAATGCACTAGATGAGTTCAGTGGAGGAGTTGTGCTGGTGAGTCACGACTCGAGACTCATTTCACGTGTCTGTGAGGATGAAGAGAAGAGTCAAATTTGGGTTGTAGAAGATGGAACTGTTTCCTTTTTCGAAGGCACATTTGAAGAGTACAAAGAAGATCTTCAAAGAGAAATCAGAGAAGAGGTTGATGATGAGTGAAGTTTTATTGGTTGGCTTTTAAAGGTAAATCTCAAATAGTCAAACATATTCATAGCAGATTTGAAAAGTTTTGGACAAATTTTATTTTAGACAAGTGCGTGTTTTCATCTTATCATGTGATTTTAGTGACATGACACCATAGTCGTCTACCCCATGTTACATATCTAAGTGTAGTATTTATGTTTTGGGGAAAGAAAGGAGAAGATGTGTTTCATTCTTTTCTCATGAGTGTGTTTATCATTAGAGCATGATACACAACAACTCAACAAGAATTCCTTTAATTTAGTTGTCTGAAATTTCCTCTCTTGATTTTATTACCTCTATTCAAAATTCTGTACAGAAAATTCATAAACCTAGTGTTTTAGTTATTTTTTCTGGTGTTTGATGTTGGGTCAAAGTCAACGAGAATTGTCGCTTAAGGAAATAGGATCACACAGTAGTAGTCAAAGAAGTGTCATTGTAAGATATCTTCAAGATTCATAACATGTTAATAAATTGATCTCTATTTAAAAGCTTTAGAAATGGAAAAAAATTATCTGATATTTCCTGCCAAACCTTAAAAAAAAAGAAAATTGCGCTCTATAACTAAAATAAAGTGTAATTAAGAATCTAACTAAAAAATAAAAACTCTTTACTATTTTTACAATATACTATATTACCCTTATCAATCGGTTAAAAAAAATTTGCTTTCTTTATCAGTCACCAATATAACTTCTTTCATAATTACAGTTGACTTCTTCATATTAGCCACTACTGTTTCACCAACCACCACTTCTTCATCAGCATTTTTCTTCTTCATCAGCATTTTTCTTATGTAACCACCACCATTTCAATGTGATCACCATCATCTCTTCCATAATCAATATTCATGACTCGGTCATCACCATTGTATCCATCACCATTACGAAATACCAATTAATAGATCTGAAAACAGAAATTTGATTCTTGGTCGCCAAAGATCTTTAGCCGCCTTCTTAAATGATGATGATCAAACCGCTAGAGACAAAGACTGAGATTGAATCATGTGAGCATGCTAATAATTAATGGCATGATGATCACCACCATCATTTTGATATCAGTCACCACATTTTCCGCCGTAACCACCACCACTCATTTGTATTGTAATTTTCCGATTGTACCCTGCTATTTAAACAATATATACTACGTTATTTTGTTTGTTACTATTTGATTGTAATAATGTTTCATATTGTGTACTAAGTGCAATGATATTTGGCTTATAGTTTACATCTTCTCTTAAGGTTTAGTGATTAGAGTTTTGAATTTAATTTATGAAAAGTTTGAGTTGATGCTGGGGTAAAGATTATTTTATTCGCTGCAATCATAGACATTCCAAAATTTGAATAATATGTACTATGCTATTTCATTTGTAATTATTATATTTTAATAATACTTCATATTGTATATTCTTTACATATTTTGATATTTGAGTAAAGGCTTATATTTACTTTTATGATTTATTGATTAGTTTTTGAATTTTAGTTTATAGAAAGTTTGGGTTAACTTTGGGATAAACTTTGCCTCATTCTTTGTAATCATACATTTCAAAATTAGAACAATATATACTATCATGTTTCGTTTATTACTATTCTATTTAATAATGTTTCATTTCATTTCCGCTGATCCATTCCATTTAAAATTCTTCTCTAAACATTATATTTTTTCGTACTGGCATCTCGTCATCCACTATGACATAGTCAACACCACTATGACAACAATTACTCCTGCTACAAAAAAAAAGACCGCTTCTTGTGTATCCACGAACGCCAATTCTTCCGTAATCATATGATCCCATTTTTTCCGGTTTGCCTCTTCGTTGTTAAAGGTTTTTTTTGTTTTTTATCATATTTGTTTCTTTATGATCACTGCCATCTTTCATATACCTCATCATAAATTATTTACCGAATTTTTTTTTGTCATCAACTGAACACAGACTCTATGAAGACTCTACAAATCATACCGATAGATCTGCATCCATATGAACAATGAAATACGGTTGCTTCCTATCACTACGTGCCAGACGATCTGCCTTGGTATTCAACGTTCTTAGTATATGGATGATATCTGAATGAGTGAAACTCTCTAACTTTTATAAAGAGAGATTATAATCGGAAGAAAAATGGATAAATGCTATAAGAACTAATTGTGTCAAAATCAGTGCTATATACTTAATTTTACCTTCAAGATTGGCTATTACACAAATTAACCCCTTTAGCATCTAATGTGACGTAAAAATATTTAGTGAAAAATGAAAAAGTTTTATGTAGTATTTGTTGACAAAAAGTCATGTAATGACTACACCAATATAATGAAAGTTATAACTATAAATTTGAATTTGACATGTGCGTTCGCGGGGGCTTAATTTTTATATATATATTATTTCATAACATTTTAAAACATAAAGATAAAGGTTATTTAGATATTATTAAGTTTCTATAAACCTATCCGGATCCGAAGAATCGAATCCCATCCGAAAATTTATATTATCCGAATAGAGTTTTATTTAAAATTCAAAAAACTCAGGACTATAGAAACTGATATGTATCCGAACGTGTATCTGAATGCCCATATTTAAATGATTATGTAAAAAAATAATAATTCTTTGTTAAAAATTACTCACTAGTTCACCTGGTGATTCAACCGATAGTTAGATGACGAGATTTAAGGGGTTTCTAGATTTTTAGGGAGTTTTATCAGATTTTTAATTAACGGAAATTTTTTAAAGCTCAAACTAGATTATTTAATGGGTCGTCAGGTTTATTGGTCTGAACACGGATTCGGGTTGGGCGTGAAATCGCTGATTTTAAGAGATTTATGATGAACATTTCAGTAAAGATTACAATTTGGATTATATGCTAGACTGATTCTATTAGCCCAGAAGATTTAAAGAAAAATCGAAGATGAAATTTAGTCCAATTATAGTCTCAGTTTCCCCCCTCGTTTACGAACTTTAAAATATTATAATTAATGAAATCCCGTATAAAAGTTTGTTAAGAAATGGAGGTGTATAACGACAAACTGTGGAAAGCTTTTTTAGAAAAAAGTTCCAAGGAAAAATTTTAACCGCCAAGTCTGATAAAGTTCCCTCCAATATTTTAAAATATTTAAAAACTCCCACGAAACTTCTAAAACTCCCACATCACATTCAACTCAACCAGATTCCGTTTCATTATTTTTCTCGTCGTCGTCATCTCAGGTACTTCTCGCTTCCCTCTTATCGACCAAACCCTTCAGATCTTGTCTTGTTTGTTGTAGACTTCTCGTAGATTCTCCGATTCTTTATCAGTTTTCAACAGATCTTGATTTGTCTAAGAGTTTTCTTGTTTTTGTTTGACTATGTATGGAAGTGAGCGAACATGGCAGGCAAGGGAGGTAAAGGGCTCGTAGCTGCAAAGACGATGGCTGCTAACAAGGACAAAGACAAGGACAAGAAGAAACCCATGTCTCGCTCTGCTCGTGCTGGTATTCAGGTGATCCCCTTCAAACCCTAGCTTCTTGGAGATGTTGAAACTCGACTTACTTAAACTGTTATTCTTGCCCAACAGTACTTTTATGTCGAGAAGAGTGTTGGGGATGTTGAAAGTTGACTTCTTTGACTCTTATTCTTGTCCAAAAGTAGTTTAGAAATGAGAAGAATTATGTTATTCCGTTGAAATGATCTTGCAGGAGATTATATAGTCTTTTTCTCTAGTGATTTGAAAGTAAATATGTTTCATTTACCATGCCTTACTTGCTTAGATATGTGTTCCTGATGTTTTGTAATATGTTAGGAGCCCCCGAGTTGTCTAGCTTTCTTTTCTTTGAGCAACTCCCAAGTTGTCTAGCTATTGTCTTAAAAGACACAGTGTCTCCATTTACTCTGAAGTTTACTTTTTGTGCTGGTGAGATCTTGTAAGTTTCGTTTGGGAGTAGATCCAGGTGATACAGTTGAAATGAAACTATTTGTTGTGCTTCTGTCAAAGGACTCTTATTCTGAATCCAAAAAGCTTGATTCTGTTGAGTTCAAGGAAGTGCCCTTGTGCTGATAATGACATATAAGGCTGTGATAAGTCTAGAACAGGTAGACAAGTGAAGCTTTTGAGCAGATAAAAGGATGCTTGACTTTGTTTAAGTTTACTTTGTCTGCATATATAAATCACTGTGTAGACTTTTTTCTTTACCATGCATGTGTTATTCTTTCCTTGTCACCTGTTCCGGCTCTGTTCTGATATTTAATGTTGTGCACAGCCATACTAGTAGAAAGATTAGTCGTACGATGAGGGAGACTCTCTTTGCATCGTATTTGCATATAATCTCACTTGGATACTGTTTCTCTTTTGGATTTTTCAGTTTCCAGTGGGTCGTATTCATAGGCAACTCAAGACGAGGGTTTCAGCACATGGAAGAGTTGGTGCCACTGCTGCTGTTTACACGGCTTCAATTCTAGAGTACCTAACTGCAGAAGTTCTTGAGTTAGCTGGGAACGCAAGTAAAGATCTGAAAGTGAAGAGGATAACACCAAGGCATCTGCAGTTGGCAATCAGAGGAGATGAGGAACTTGACACGCTCATCAAAGGAACCATTGCGGGAGGAGGTGTGATTCCTCACATCCACAAGTCTCTAATCAACAAAACCACCAATGAGTGATTTTGTATCTTAAGCACTGATCTTATGTGATCCGCTAATTAGTAGCTTATGGTGTTTGTGTTTGTTTAGTCTTGGACTGCTTTCTTTTCCTTAGTTCTCTGACTAGTGTGTTGCTCTTTTTTTAGACATCCTCATGTGTACATTAGTTTATTTGAACTCTTAGACTTCTTGTTTGAGCGTATGTGATCCATATAAGAAAGGGTTACGTGGTTATCCAACGCTGCCATGTCAAGAATACGCAATACATAATCATTTGCTCATTGCAAAGAACAACAAACAGACTCCAAACAATTTTTGCACAAATTAAATGAAAGAAAACACACGAAACCTTATAAAGGTAGTGTACCCATATTATTAGTCACATTCTCAAGAAAACTGAAATTGATTGCACACATGCATCAAGAAGAAAAGAAATTTGAAATCAAATAATACTGGAAAGCTTATTTAAGACCCGCATTTACTGGTTCTCAGTAATACGAAGGTGGAGGTGGAGATTTGTATTCAACTTTTGGAGAAGGAGAATATGATGGTGGTGGTGGAGAACTGTAGACGTATGGTGGTGGAGGAGACTT